TGTTAGGATTTCCTGGCTTCACTGAGGAAGATCATGATGTTAAAGCTACAGCAAAAGTAACATAAAGAGCAACTTTAGCGCTTGGCCACTCAGCATGGACGGTACACAGCACGGATCCCTTCACACACATAAAAGCATACACCAAACACGCCCTGCAAATTTAAGTTTATTTGAATATTAAATATGCACTAAACTGAATATATATGCATATATATGTAAAAAATAACCTGATTCCATGTAATGTCTGCAGCAGTAAATTAAAGCCATTCACTTTGAGCAATCTGTGGCTATTTTTAGTCCTAAATGAAACCCCAAATGCTTTCATGTCGCCCCAAACTTCCTTTCTTTTGACTGAACTATTGCTTGTGAGTACAGTCAGTGTTAGATTTGTTGCATCAAACACGTTGGATACACAGCACGCTGATGTTCTCTAAGATACTGAAGCAAATTATGAGAAAAAGGCCCTTGTCATATTTAAACTGTGCAATCTTTGCAAATCTGATCAAAGGAGAAAAATATGAGCATGAGTCTTTCAACCCACACTTGCAGCAAAAAAACCCGACGCTGAGTTCATTTCCTGCACGAGATGTTTACAGCTGTTTAATACTGACCAAACATTTTTAATATGGACTTCAGTCCAGTCTGATGCACATTAATCAAGTAAAAAAAACAAACAAAACTATGCCTGGGTTACTTTATGCTTGCATACCTTCCTATTCTCATCCATTATGCGGTACACACTGTGCTTGTAGACCCGCCCCCGGACTCCTGCCCTGTCAATCTCATTGTTTGGTAGGTTGTCATAGAATTGGATGTTTTCATCCTCGTCCTCCAGCTTATGGGAAATGTTGGCATTGAGAGGGATGAGGATGAGGAGCTTCCTGGAGCCACGACCCCAACTGGTATTGTTTAACTGGTGTGTGGCACAAAACCCTGCGATGGACTGCTCCAAATCTGAATAGACATGCAAACACAGAAACAAATTCAGATCTCTTCATTCACATTCATCCTCTATCTCTAGAATAGAGAAGAAAGTGTAGCAATGTGACCCTGTGAGCCAAAAAGAACAGAC